TGTCATGAACCTCCGTCCATAGTTCTTCAGGCACTCTGTCTGTCAGATCTAATCCCTTGAATCTACTTCTCACTTCCACTGTATAATCATAAGGGACATGATTTAGGTCATACCTGAATGGTCTACTGGTTATCCCTACTTTCTTCAATTTAAGTCTGAATTTTGCAATAAGGAGTTCATGGTCTGAGCCACAGTTAGCACCTAGTCTTGTTTTTGCTGACTGAATAGACTGTCTGGCAATAATGAACATCGACATTTTAGGAATCAGTGAACTAAAATGGACAGGAATGGGCGAATTTAATTCAGATGACCATTATATCTACTGCCCACTGTGGGCAAGAATCTCTTAGAAGAAATGGAGTAGCCCTTATAGTCAACTAGAGAGTCTGAAATGCAATACTTGGATGCAGTCTCAAAAATGACAGAATGATCTCTGTTCATTTCCAACACAAACCATTCAATATCACAGTGATCCAAGTCTATGCCCCAACCACTAAGGCCAAAGAAGCTGAAGTTGAATGGTTCTATGATGACCTACAAGACCTTCTAGAACTACCACCAAAAAATGATGTCCTTTCATCATAGGGGACTGGAACGCAAAAGTAGGAAGTCAAGAGATACCTGGAGTAACAGGCAAGTTTGGCCTTGGAGTACAAAATGAAGCAGGGCAAAGGCAAACAGAGTTTTGCCAAGAGAACACACTGGTCATAGCAAACATCCTTTTTCAACAACACAAGAGACGACTCTACACATGGACATCACCAGATGGTCGATACCAAAATAAGCATATCTTTGGTAATCACTACTTACATTTATTGAAAGCTTAGTATGTGTCTGGAATTGTGTTAAGCACTTTACATGAACTCACAGTCCTAGGAGGTAGTTACTATCTTATTATTATTTTACTGATGAAACCACTGAGGCACAGAGCAGTTAAGTAACTTGTCTGGGGTTATTCAGCTAGACATGATGGAGCCAGGAAGTAGATACAGAAAATCTGACCCCAGCATCTCTGCTTTTAACCTTTAGAGAGAGGGTTTTAGAGGGAGAATCCAATTTTCAACTATGTTGGCTTTTTATAAGGCTTAAATTATGTAAGATTTCAATAAAAGTGAGCTACCAGGAAAAAAAATTAATAAAAATAATGTATATAAAGCCCCAGCTACCATAGGTGGAGCTCCACCAATGGTAGCCATTATATTTTAAAGAAGTCTTAGAAAAGAGAATGCCCCTCTCCCACAGAGATTAATTTTCTCTGTAACCAATTAAAAGCAAGTTGCCTTTTCTGAATTGTCTTTAGTGACTTTGCCATTTAAAGTCATACTTGTTTAGGAAACAGGTGAAATCCAGTTTAGATCATAAACATGCTGGAAAAAAGGGAAAAGTCAGAAAAATAGGTAAGGCATGCAGGAGGATGAAGAGAGAAGATTGGGAGGGGGAATAATCATTGTGACAATTAGTGGTTGAGTTAATTCTTTTGAACTGACTTGTAGGAGTTCTACATCTATTCTTGATAAAAGTCCTTAGCTGATTATTCAAATTGCCAATATCTTCTCTATGGCTTGCCCTTTCACTCCTTCAGTGGTCTATTTTGATCTTCCAATGAAAAGTTAATATACACAAAAATGAAGTCCAGCAGAATATAGATCTAAATGGGAGATGAAAAACAGTAGAGAATCTAGGTAAGGAAAAAGTCTTCTTGATTTTAGTATAGACAAAGATTTCTTTGATTCTCAAAAACAACCAACCTAAAATGGAAAGGTGGAGAAGTCAGATAATATTAAAACTAGTAACTTGTGTTCAACAACTGATGGAATTAGTAGAGTGTATTTGGCACATGCATTATCTTGCTTTATATTCTTTAATCTTTTCAAACATGCCTGCGTTACAGATCAGGAATTGAGGAACTGAGGCCTGGAGAGTTTAATGAACTTGCCGTGGACCACAAAGCTTACTAGTGGAGGAGCTGAGGTTTGAACTCGGGTCTGATGGAGTCTAGAGACCGAGCTCCTAATTCTTGGTGGTGCATCTCTTCCTTTTTCTCTCGGAAACACTCCCTGTGGGGCTGGCACAGTGTTGGGCTCTGGACCTGGGTTGCCATTGGCTTTGCTCGGTGCCCTCCTGTAAATTATTCATTCCTCCAGCACCATTTTGTGAGCGTGGTCTGCAGTTGCGTGTTCGTCTTTTTTCTCAGTTCCAGGGAAGCAAGATTCCTCTGGGTGCGATTCACTGCGGCTACACCTGGGAGAGACGTGACAGTCAATCGGGGCCGGAGCATCTCTGCTCTGGCAGGATGAGCGGCAGAGCCCTGGCGAAGAGGTGAAGAGGCAGCTCCTGTGGGTAGTGCCAGGACCGAGCCCTGCTCCGGGTACCCAGGGCTGCGGGAGTCTGTACAGCCCCAGTATCCTGGCACGTGCTCCACCGCTTCTGCCGCCTTCCCTTCCCGGGGGCCAGAAGCCCTGGGGCATCTGGGCGTTCAGGCAGGGCCGGGAGCAGCTGGCATCTGTGGGAAGTGGAAGCAGAACTGGGTTTGGGGGCCGTGGTGAGTCCCTTGGAGTTGCGGCCAGGGTCGCTGCCATGCAGGCTGATGACAATAGAAGGTAGGGGCTGCCTGGTCCTGTGAGAAGTGTGGGAATCAGGAGCAATGCCAGGGCTCCCCCCCATCTGCATGCCAGGGCATCTGCCCCCCAGGGCCACTGCCTCTCAGCAGCCTCCTGCCAAGGGAACTGCAGGCCGGCCTCCAGCTGCAGATTTGAGCCAGTCATGCTGATCACTGTGGTACCGTTTACAGAGCACTTAGGTGCCAGGCACTTTGCCTCAGCAAAAATGTATATAAATGTAAACTTTTTACATGCATCTTCTCAATCCATACAACCCTCTGTGAAATACAAATGATCATTATTTCGAGTGTATAGCTGTGGCATAAACACTCAGAAAGACTAACCTCCACGGTGCCCTCAGAGCTGCTAAGTGGCAGAGTCAGGATTCAAACCCACACCTGTGTGATGTCAGAACTCACATGAGTGTTTAGCACAACTTAACCACAAGCTAATGAAGCCCCAGCTTCAGAACTCCCACCTTCGTGGGTCCCTTCCAAGGCACTGAAAGGTCCTAGCAATGTGTTCATGTGTGCATATGTTTTTTAAAAATTTGCCCAACAAAAAAATAAATTGCAAAGCTGATAGATCATTTCCCTAGTTACCATTTCCTTCCACTTTGTCTTCCCTTCCTCAAACTTGTCCTGGTTTGGTTTACTGAGAGGAACTGGAGTTGGGATGTACTCAGGGCTTGGTGGGTTATTCGTTTTTTTCTTTCATTGTAATCGAGCTGATGGACAGGGAGGCCTGGCGTGCTGCAGTCCATGGGGTCGCAGAGAGTCGGACACGACCGAGTGTCTGAACTGAACTGACTGCTTCTTTTTCAGATTCTTTGCCCATTCAGGCACTGGTTATGGGTTGTTCTGACATGTCTGGAAATCACTCCTGTGGCTGTTAGGTCCTCTCTAGCTGTTCTGATGAACGACTGGCTTCCAGTCAGTGCCCCTGAGTCCACTCACCTGGCCTTGTGGCACAAACACACCGGCAGAGATTGGATTGCGATGATGAATGTGGCCTGTGTCTTTGGCACAGGAAGTATGTGGAAGTGGAGAAGCAACAGGAACCTTTCAAGAAAGACTATTAGTAATCAAAGCTACTTTTTATCTTTCTATTCCTTTTATAATGATATTGCAAAACTGCTGTCATATAAAAAGGCAATCCAAGAGTACGCAGCCAAAAACTATGGGCAAAAATGAGACAGGTGTGTCAGGCAGTGATTTAATACAAACGATTATATTATTTTTCTGGATTTTGTTATGGTTTGTGATATTTGTCAGTTTTTAAAAATTTAAAAGTTGTGGGCGTTTCTTTTCTCATTCTAAATAGTTACTTTTGTAGCTAATTTTTTGTTTGAAATTTGGTATCATTTTTCTTAGGACCCCCCCCACCCCGTTTCCACCTGCCAGAACCCAGGAACTGACCCTGCCCAAACTCACCCTGCTTAGCATTGGAAGGTCCCCAAGTCCTAAGTGTGGACGGAGAAACGGGGGGGTGGGAATCTGAGTTCTGGAAAAGCCTGAGCTCCCAGCACTTTAGAAAGTGCTGCAGGCATCCTGTAATGTAGGTGGGAGGCTGCCGGTATCCTCAAGGGCAGGCAGGAGGCTGAAGCGGGGGTAACAGCACAGTCAAGCGCCTGAGAGGAGGCGCCACCGGCCTGCAGCGGGATCCGCCCAATGTTTGCCAAACACACAAGAGGGCTGGGGGCAACTTACAAGTCACTTAGCCTTTTGCAACGGGCAGCAGCTTTCCACACAGCCCCATCCGAAACTGAATTTCCAGATGAGGTGTTCTTGGACGCCCTGATCCAAAGGGCGCTTTGGTGCCCACTGAGGAGCGCGGGGACCAGGGGGCAGTGTGAGTGAGAGGCACACCCGGCCGGTTCCGCCGCCCCGCGGGCCCTCAGGCCCTGCACGTGGAAGTGGCGCTGAAGGCAGGTGGCAGCTGGCGCCCCGAGGTGGGGGCTGGAGCGCGCTGCGTGCCCCACGGGCCCGGGGCACGCCCGTCCATCCACTCGCTGGGAGCGCGGCAGGGCCGGAGCGGCCGCCGCTGCGGGAACCTCGGCTTCACGACGCTCACTTCTCCACCTGGTGGCCGGACTGCAGATTACAGGCGATGGAGCTGCATCTCTTCTCCCCACTGAACAAAGGGACCGCGGGGATAGCAGGCCGCCGGGGCTAGCCCAGCTCCTCCTTCTCGCCTCCCTGGCAGCCAACCAGGGCACAGGCCGGAGGAGGGTTCAGGGGGAACGGCCCCACAGAGCGGGGCTTTGCTCGAGGCTGCTGTGCCGGGCAGGAGCGACGAGCCCATGACTCCAGGATCAGAGAGAATCGTACAGAGACAAAAAGATCGCATTTGAAATTCTAATGAGCAGAGACGCTGCAGATGGCGGTCAGGGGTCTAAGAGCAATGTGACACGGCCAGCCCTGGGGTGGCCCTCAGAGCTGGATGTCTCTGGCCTAAGAGTTCCAGAATCGAGGGTTATCCCTCAACTTCTGTCTTTATGTTCCCCACTCTGAAGGAACGGCACACGAAAGAGTGAACACATCCACAGGGCCTGTGCTACCCTCCCCTGTGACCATCGGTGCATTCAGTCATATTCTGTACCCGTGTAGACACACAATACAATCCTACACACCATACACACACACTAAAATAAGCAGCACCAGGAATAATGTTATGGGCTGAATTGTGTCCCCCTGAAATTCATGTTGAAATCCTAAGCCCTGTTTCCTCAAAATGCAATTGCCTTAGGAGATAGGGTCTTTAAAGAGGTGTGACGGTCGCTCAGTCGTATCCGACTCTTTGTGACTCCATGGACTATTCCATGGGATTCTCCAGGCCAGAATACTGGAGTGGGTAGCTGTTCCCTTCTCCAGGGTATCTTCCCAACCCAGGGATCGAACCCAGGTCTTCTGCATTGCAGGCTGATTCTTTACCAACTGAGCCACAATGGAAGCCCAAGAATGCTAGAGTGGGTAGCCCATCCCTTCTCCAGTGGATCTTCCTGACCCAGGAATTGAACCAGGGTCTCAGTTAAAATGAGTTATTAGGGTGAGTCCTAATCCAACATGCCCTTATTAGAGGAGGAGATTAAGACGCAAGAGAAGATTATGGGACCACACAGAAACACAGCCATCTAAAACCAAGGAGGAGGCCTCAGAAGAAACCAACCCTGTCCACACCTTAATCTTAGACTTCCAGCCTTAAAATTGGGAGAAAATAAATTCATGTTGTGTGAGCCTGAGCCAACCTGTGGTGTTTTGTTGAGGCAACTCTAGCAAACTGATACAGATAATGATGGTGACTTCACTGCAATGGACTTCAGTAAGCAGGAAAGGATACTCCTTCAGGACACATGTCGCCTTGTTTTAACACGCTGCCTGCTAGGATTTCATGTATAGGACTTTGCAGCCATGGTCCAGGCCAGCTCTGTGGATACAAGATGCTCCTTGTCAAGCTCATCTGCACCCTAGCATCTTCTGGTGGGTTCCTGAGCTAGTCATCATCCCTGATAGCAGTAGAAGTGTTTAGCCTCTGGAGTCTTCTCTTCCCCCTCCTATAAGAACCTCATCACGAAACAGGAAGGAAAGAGGAGCAGAGGGCAACTTTTCTTCAATACTGACTAGCTTCCAGATCTGGTGGGCTGGGGGCCTGGAGAAGGGATGAAGACCTGTGGGGGGTGATGGGCTGGAGATTTCCAGTCTGCTGGGGGAGGAGAAGGGGGAACACAGTTGCTGCAGCAAAAGAGAGCCCAGCCTCAGGGAGAGAACCTGGGGAAGTGCACAGCGCCCAGGAGAAGGACCGGCCTGCAGAGGTGAGTGGGTGCACGACCCTGATGACGTGTTCCGGATTCCGCTGTCCAACACAGCAGCCACTAGTCCTGTGGTCACTGAGCTCCTGACATGTGACTCAGTGGAACTGAGAAACTTAATTTTTGCCATTTTAAGTATACATGTTTATATGTGGCGGCAGTGTTGGACAGCACAGTTCCAGAGCTCACAGGCTTGCTGCTTGCACTCAACAGTTATCTTCTTTCTTCCTTGCTTCCTGAGCCCCAGGTTTGGTCAGACAGTGGGAAGCCACGTACTGCAGGGGGGCGTGAGCTCCTGCCAAGCTCTCCATGTCCCAGGGGGCGCTAGTGGTAGGAACACCCCCGCCAGTACAGGAAACATAAGAGACACCCATTGGATCCCTGGGTTGGGAGGATGCCCTGGAGGAGGGCATGGCAACCCACTCCAGTATTCATGCCTGAAAAATTCCATGGACAGAGGAGGCTGGTGAGCTACAGTCCATTGCAAGAGAAGATTATGGGACCACACAGAAACACAGCCATCTAAAACCAAGGAGGAGGCCTCAGAAGAAACCAACCCTGTCCACACCTTAATCTTAGACTTCCAGCCTTAAAATTGGGAGAAAATAAATTCATGTTGTGTGAGCCTGAGCCAACCTGTGGTGTTTTGTTGAGGCAACTCTAGCAAACTGATACAGATAATGATGGTGACTTCACTGCAATGGACTTCAGTAAGCAGGAAAGGATACTCCTTCAGGACACATGTCGCCTTGTTTTAACACGCTGCCTGCTAGGATTTCATGTATAGGACTTTGCAGCCATGGTCCAGGCCAGCTCTGTGGATACAAGATGCTCCTTGTCAAGCTCATCTGCACCCTAGCATCCTCTGGTGGGTTCCTGAGCTAGTCATCATCCCTGATAGCAGTAGAAGTGTTTAGCCTCTGGAGTCTTCTCTTCCCCCTCCTATAAGAACCTCATCACGAAACAGGAAGGAAAGAGGAGCAGAGGGCAACTTTTCTTCAATACTGACTAGCTTCCAGATCTGGTGGGCTGGGGGCCTGGAGAAGGGATGAAGACCTGTGGGGGGTGATGGGCTGGAGATTTCCAGTCTGCTGGGGGAGGAGAAGGGGGAACACAGTTGCTGCAGCAAAAGAGAGCCCAGCCTCAGGGAGAGAACCTGGGGAAGTGCACAGCGCCCAGGAGAAGGACCGGCCTGCAGAGGTGAGTGGGTGCACGACCCTGATGACGTGTCCGGATTCCGCTGTCCAACACAGCAGCCACTAGTCCTGTGGTCACTGAGCTCCTGACATGTGACTCAGTGGAACTGAGAAACTTTTAATTTTTGCCATTTTAAGTATACATGTTTATATGTGGCGGCAGTGTTGGACAGCACAGTTCCAGAGCTCACAGGCTTGCTGCTTGCACTCAACAGTTATCTTCTTTCTTCCTTGCTTCCTGAGCCCCAGGTTTGGTCAGACAGTGGGAAGCCACGTACTGCAGGGGGGCGTGAGCTCCTGCCAAGCTCTCCATGTCCCAGGGGGCGCTAGTGGTAGGAACACCCCCGCCAGTACAGGAAACATAAGAGACACCCACTGGATCCCTGGGTTGGGAGGATGCCCTGGAGGAGGGCATGGCAACCCACTCCAGTATTCATGCCTGAAAAATTCCATGGACAGAGGAGGCTGGTGAGCTACAGTCCATTGGGTCACAAAGAGTCAGACATGGCTGAAGTGACTTAGCACACATGCCAAACTCTCTTGGGGGAGGGAAATTTTGATTAGTAAGCCAGTTATGGTAATTATACTGCCCTTGTTAGTGATTAGTTTAGGAGTAGGCAAATGATGCAAACTCAGACAATGAGATAGAGGGGGAAGTCTGCTGGAGGGATCTGACAATGGTCTCCTTGGTCTCAGAAAGGGTCATAAAGAGGAGATGGTCCCTCTTCTGCCTTTGATTTTTGTGTAAGAATGTGATGTTTAGAATTGCTGGAACTGGGACTTCGCTGGTGGTGCAGTAGTCAAGACTTCATGATCTCAATAGCAGGGACCTGGGTTCGATCCCTGGCTGGGGAACTAGATCCCACATGCCACAACTAAGAGTCTGCATTCAGGAATGAAGATTCCATGTGCTGCAACTAAAACCTGGCACAGCCAAATTAAAAAAAGAAGAAAGGAAAAAAAATTAAAAAAGAATAACTTTAAAAAGAATTTAAAAAAAAATTGCTGGAACCACCTCAAGGGGACAAATGCCAGTATGCTGAGTATGCTAAGTTGCTTCAGTTCTGTCCGACTCTTTATGACCCTATGGACTGTGGCCTAACAGACTAGTCTGTTCAAGGGCTTCTCCAAGCACAAATACTAGAGTGGGTTGCCATTTCCTTCTCCAATGCTGAGCATGGCTGACCTAAAAGATGTAAAGAACCTGGGTCTCAGTGATGTGGCCAAGCCACATCACACCCA